AAAAAAAAAAAAAAAAGAGAAGGGCTCTCAGCCCCTAACCCCCTTTATGCACTCAGGAATTTCCTATGTAAAATCCCCCAAACACTTGCCTGAAACACACAGTCCCACACTTAGCAGGAGGGGGACTAAATTCCCCAGCTGGCAGTTCAGTAGACGTGTAGTTTCACCCTTCCATGCTATTCCCATTTCTCTTGAAGACAGAAAGGATGATTTTACTTTACATGAAGTTCACTCTTGCTCATGAAGGCATCAGCTCCCAAGACCCGACAGGACTACAGGGTAGAAGTAGACATCCAAGAAAAAACACCAGTGACTTTCCCAACTTCATTCCCCAATCAAAGAGGACAGTTTCTGATTTTCCACTGGTGAGTTTATTACATGATTAATAAGTTCAAATAAAAAAATAAAAAATAAAATCTTAGTAGGGAGGCTAGAGCCAGAATCTGGGTGTGCTGCTCCCTGACCCCAGACTCCCTGGCCAAGCCCAGCTCCACTAACTCAGCTTGACTCGATCAATTTCCTCATCAAGATTTGCATTTGTGCCCTTGGCATCTCTGCTGCTCCCGCTGGAGACTGAGTTCTGTGCCTGTGGCACCGAAGCTTTGGTGAGGGCCCCATATATACCCATGGCCTGAGGAGAGGGATAGAGAGACAGCCATGAGGACACTGGTAGAAGACACAGCCCAACCTCCCAATGGCTAGAAGGACAAACGTGGCTGGGGACAGAGAACTTGGTTTTTCTTTCTCCCTTCCCCAAGCCGCAGTCTTAAAAGCTCTGGAATCAGTTCTAGGAATCTTACAAACTAGCAAAGCAGGGGCCAGGGATTTAGCTCAGTGGTTCAGCTACGTGCCTCGAAATCGGAGGGACCCGAGTTCGATAACCAGTACTAAAACAAACAAACAAACAAACAAAACCAAAAAACTATCAAAGCAGGGTGACCTTCAGAACACTAACACAGGTATCTACAGAATGAAGGTAGCTCAAGAGCTTCCTTATCAGCCGGGATAAAGCAGTATCTTCTCAGATATTTCTTCTCTATAAGGAATGAAGGGAGGTGAAGGCCAAAGCACCCTGAAGACCTCCATGGTGTGTGAGTGGTCTTAGGAATGGTATGGTCTCAGCCTCCTGCACTGGGCTCTGTGCTGGGTCATCAGAGAGCTCTAACCTGAGCCACCATACTGGTAATGTCACCAGGATTGGAAGGCAATAGGACAGTGTTGGAGTCCTTGGCCAGTTTGGAGAACGCGCTGACATACTGCTCAGCCACAGTCAGTGAAGCTGCTGCATCTCCATTCTGTGGCCACAAAGAGATAAAATCAGAGATCAAAGATTTGGAAAAGAAAGAGAGGGTGGAAAAAGGAATTCAGATTCCTAGAAAGAAAGTATGCTTGTTACAATACATAGAATCTGGCTCAGTGGAGCCCACAACATTGGGAACATCCCCCAAGGTTGGATGAGGAAAAACCTCTTCCATTGTCAATTCCTGTGTCTTACTCCCACCCAGGAGGCTCTCACATGTTGTGTCAGAGCTGCAGCCACGATTCGAATAGCTTCAGCCTTTGCCTTTGCCTTTGCCAGAACTGCACTGGCCTCTCCTGAAAGAAAAGAGGCAGAATTTGACCCAAGAAATCAGAGTGCCTAAAAGCTCCTGTTCCAGCACCAACCTTCAAAGACCCATGACCTGCTCCTCCTTCAGCCTCTAGCTTCTGCTCACCTGCCGCTTGATTTATTTGTTCAGCCTTTTCTGCTTCAGAAGCCAGGATCTGGGCCTGTTTCTTCCCCTCTGCCACATTGATAGCTGACTCTCGAGTACCTTCAGACTCTAGAACTGTAGCACGTTTCCGCCGCTCTGCCTCCACCTGGAAGCCCCCAGACAACCCTCATTAATAAAAAGCCAGGAGAAATTTTCATAGACCTCATATACTTATCACAACAGGAAAGGGGGTCCAGGTCCCCATGGGGCTGTAATACAACGAGGTTCTCTTTCCCACCTGCATCTGCATGGACTCTTTCACCCGGGGTGGCACATGGATATCCTTGATCTCGTAACGAAGGCAGCGGATGCCCCAGCAGTCAGCAGCCTGGTTGATGGCATCTACAATGCTGGCATTCAAGGACTCTCGCTCCTAGAGGAAGAGAGGTGTAAGCTCCACAGCATCATCATACCTACTAAGGCTAAGTGGTAAAGTGCCTGGGACCAATTTTGAGCCCTAGAAAAAAACTGGCAGTACCAAGACAGGTGCCTTTAAACGCTTAACTCTGGCCCAAATCTGCTTACCCGGAAGACTTTGTCCAGGGCGAGTTTGCCAAGCTCTGATCTCATAGTTGTCTGAGCTAGCTGGGTAACAGCATACTCAGGATCCTCTACACCATAGCTTGCCTGAAAGAGGATGGGTAGTATAAGAAGCTAGGATGCAGGATCTTAGTGAAGAGGGCAACTCAAAAACTGGATATAGCGTGCCGGGGATTTAGCTCAGTGAGGCCACCGCCTGCCTCAAAAGTTCAAGATCCCAAGTTCGATCCCCAGCACCAAAAAAATAAAACAAAACAAAACAAAAAACTGGATATAGCAAAGAGCAGATACAGATACCTTGTAAGGGTCCATGATGCGTAGGTAAAGGACTCCATCAATTTGCAGAGTTACATTATCTACAAAAAGAGAAGCAGGACAGAAGAGAAGGAAGGTCAGAGTTCCAGGTCCCAACCAGCTCTTTCTCCTAAGCTCTGGATCTACAGCAACCACAACCTAATGGTCTGAGAGCACCCATGTCACCCTGTACCCCTCACCAAGTGTCACAGCCGACTGTTCAGGCACGTTGATGACAATTTCCTTGAGACTCTGCACATATCGGATCCGGTCTAACACAGGGATGAGGATGTTCAAGCCCTGGGAAGAGGAGTCACGGGTCCTCAGAAGGATGGGGAGGACAGGGTTGGAATCTAAGCTAGGGCTGGAGTAGATAGGGAGTCAACATATGGAACATGCCCAGAAAGGCAGTAACCCCTGCCAAGAGATGTCCTCAGAAGGCTAGAATGTCACTGGCAGGGAAATCTAAGAGCATAGGAATGCAAGATTAAGCCTCTAAATGGAGAGGAGAATCAAGAGAATGGGAGCCAAAAGAATAGCTGTCTTTAGGCTGATGGATGGATTTGAGAGTGGGGTAGTACCAAGAATGGGACCTGTAGGATGCTAGAATGTGGTAGCAGAAAAGATAACATAGGCATAATGGTCAGCAGCCTGGGCCCTGCCAGAACTAATTGAGGGAGTTGTCAGTCAAAAGCAGAGACAGGGCCCAAGGAGGTCTCAGTGCCCTGTGTGTGGTATCCGGGTATTTGGCTGACCCGAGATGGGCAAAAGAGGTTCTTACAGGCTCCAGGATCCGGTGGAACCGTCCCATTCGCTCTACCACCCAGGCCTCCTGCTGCGGCACAAACAGTACCACGGTGTTTCGGGGCAATCCAGAGGAGGCGCGGCGCGGAGCGCGGCCAGAAGCCTGCACAGAGCCCTGAAAGAAAGAGAAGCGTAGGCTGAGACATAAGCCGGCCCTGCAACTTGTCCCTCTCTCCCTCAAGTACAGCGACCATCAAAGGTCCTCGGAGAATGACTCACGTGGGGACCATGACTTCTGACCCCACTCCTCTCCCAAAGTTGGAATCCCGCTCCTTCCCAGCTGAGCACACAGACGGTTGCTGTCCCGACCCTCTGGAGGTTGCCTTACTCTCACCCTCAGCAAAAGGGCTCCAGTGCCCCGCGCCGCGCGCGCCAGCATTTCCCACAGTTGCAGCGACCTCCGGAACCAACGAGACTCGGAGCGGAGAGGCCGATCCAGAAGCTCAGACCGGAGCCTTTTCTCCTGCAGGTCCTCTACCCCGGAAGTACTTCTTCAGCTCCTTCCGGGTTGAATACTCACCAGATCGGCGTTAATTGGCAGAGTGAGCATCGAGATGTTCCCTGGGAAATGGAGACCTTTCAGCGAGGGCCAGAAGCTGCGACTTGTTCTGGTTCGCGCTGTTTGAGCCCAAGATTTTGGACATTGTGGCGGAAATGAAGGCTATTTTTCGCGTACACTTGTTCCAGAAACACCTCCTATCGAATTCTTTACGCCCCAAAGACTCAGTTTACCCTCCAAGGCGTGTAATAGCCCCATTTGTCACCATGGCGACTAGTGGATTTGCGCTGATTCGTTGCCATAGTGATATGCTCCTCCTGTGCTGTGCCCACCCCTCCCACTGGGAACTGACCCCATTCCCGTTGTCATGGTAACTGAACCTAACTTTGTCCGATGTTTGGGCTAAGATTTCTCTCCCCGCCCCCTTTCCCAAGACACCACAGTTCTTTCCATTTCTTCCCAATTATGGCCTGGCCCCCTTGCATACAGAGTCCAGCCAAAAGCCTCAACCTTGTCTGAATCGTGTCACCCTGCAAATATCCCTACTGCTCTGGCAAATCTTTAAAGAAGCCTATATAATAGTCATCCTCATTTTATATATAAAGGCACTGAAAGTGCCCTAAAATCATTAACAGCCAGTATAAAAACCCAGATCTAGTTGGGCATGGTGGTGTACACCTGTGATCTCAGCACTCCGGGAGGCTGAGGCAGGAGGATCACAAGTTTGAGCCCAGCCTGAGCAACTTGGCAGGATCCTGTCTCAAAATCAAAAACAAAAAGGGTTGTGGATCTGGCTCAGTGAGAAAGCCTCAGGTTCAATTCCTCCCAGTACTTAAAAACAAAATAAATCCAGATCCACCGAGTCCTACAGCTGGACTTTATCCTAGCACTCTCATTACGGGAAATGAACAAGACCATGATCGAAGAATCCCCAGGACCTAGCTGAATACTTCATGGGCTCAGGGTTAATGCCTGCTCCCTAGGAGAAAGGGCAGAGTCCCAGCTCCAGACCTCTTCAGATCTCTCCAACAGAAGAGTAGAGTTTAGTTCAAGTTTCCAAACAAGAATTTATTGTTTATTTATTTTTCTTTAAAAAAGTACCACGTACAATTTTTTTCCTGCTTTTTGTTTTGTTTTCTTCAAGTTTCAGCAAATGTTTGTTCCCCTCAGCCTAGCCCCAGGAGTCAAGGGCTGAGGCTTGGTAGAGTCTGAAGTGGAGAATGGGGTAGTTGGGAACCACATAACTGAGTTTGAGGGGTGCCCCTCACCCCAGCTGAGGTAGGTGGGTCAGAGTCTGGCCAGGTGAAAGGAGGCACCCCAGTCCTTGGCCCTGACTCTGTGCCTGGTCACCTTCCTCGTCAGGACCCCAAAGCAAAGAAACACAGGGAGGAGAAGGGGGATAACTGGATCTGGAGCCCTAGGTGAAGGGTGGTTAACCCCTGCATGTGTTCACACATACACACTTTCTCTCACACCACACAAACATGAGCTTGTGCTCATGTGCATGCACATGCGCATGCACACACACACACACACACATACACACACACACAAAGTTGGCTTTCAAAGATGGGTTAGAGGGTAGGGGGAATGGAGGGAATAGGGAAGGACAGGGGAAGCTGAGTCTTTGGCAAGTGACTCAGTCCCTCTGAAGTAACCCCTCTGCACTCAGCTGAGTGACAGCAGTTCTCCCCTTGCCCCCACATCAGCCTCTTTAACTCCACTTCTGAGGTTGAGCAATATCTGAGAGTGGGAAAGGAGGGGTGATGCCAATTATCAGGTTTGGGAGGTTACCAAGGCAATCCAATTTGAATAAATTATAAATTAAAAATAAATAAAATAATAAGTGGTCCCTGGCCCAGGACAAGGAGGCAATGCTGGCATGACTTGCCTGGGAACTTGGGACAATCTTAGGGTAGCTCTGGTTTTTGCCTACTACCTAAGCTGGCCTGGAAAACCCAAGGAAGGGGACAGGCACATGGAGTACCCGGAAGTAGGGCAGGGTGTGAAAGGATCAGAAGCTTCACCCATCAGTTTGAGCATGAGTGTGGCAAGGATTTTAACAAGCCTTAAAGGGATCTTGCCATCTCTCCGCATGTTTACTCTGTCCAGGATGGGCAGGATAGGCAAGATGTTGGCCCACCTAGGTTCAGAGGACTGGCAATCAGGGCAAAGGTGAGTAACGTGGATTGTGAGGGGCCTCAGTCACAGCCTGCAGTTCATAGGGGAGACCTGTGTCCAGCTCCAGGCTCCGGCGGGAAAAAAGCAGGCGGATATCTCCATGCAGGCTTAAGCGGCCTGAGCGGGAGCTCCGGAACCTGAGAGAAGAGAATATGATCAAAGCCAGAATCCAAGGGAGCAGAGTTGTAGCTCAGTAGCGCCTTGTCTGCCTGGCAAGCACAAAGTCCTGAGTTTGATCCCCAGTACCAAAAAAGCCAGAATCCAGAACTAGAGAAGCAAAGAGAGATGCTATTCAGGGAATGGAACTTGCATTTGGGAAAGGATACCTGGGCCTCACCAGCTGTTCCTGGGGACTATCCTCACCTGAGGTGCAGCAAGTAGCAGAGGAGGCGGTGGGTGGGGCTCGCATTTCCCTCCTCACCCACAGGCACCAAAAAGAGGCGATGGCGCAAGAAGGTCATGTGGGCAGCAGGCATGTCCGAGAAGTCAAAGGTCACGAGGAACATCTTCACCACAGTTTGGTTGGGGTTAAATAAGGTCTGGGGATAGGACAGTCATGGTTGGTAGGGCTTAGGGCCTGTTTTCCTCTCTCTCCATATCCATTTCCTCAGGGCAAACTTACCACTTGGATGGTGCCCACCTTGGGCACACTGTAACCCTTCCTCCCCAGGGAGTTCAGGTCCACGACCCCCTGGGAAGACCATGGAACCAGCAGTCAGTGTGGGCACTAGGAGAGCCCTAAGCCCTGAACACTAGTGTCTCTCCACAATCTCTCATCTAGACTTGCCTTTGCCCCACAAGAGATTTTGCCCGACTTGACCCCAAATCACTCCTGGGTGAGGAACATCTAAGGAATACCTCTTGCCCCCTACCCCTCTCTTCCTGATGAACTACTGGTTGGGGTCAGGTCATACCAGGAAGGGGGCCGGGGCATTTTGCTCAGAAACATCAAAGAAGGTGACAGTGACAGGCAACGTGACATGCTGGGGGCAGTAGGACCCACTAGCTCCAATCTCTGCTGTGAAGCCCTCAATGTGGCCAGATGGTGCAAAGCGTCCTCGAAGCAATGATTCCTGGTGTTAGCATGGGAAAAACACATTATGAGGGAGATGCCAATTCTTTTCCTTATCCACCCGAGCCACGCTCCACCACCCGACTCCTCCAAGACCCCTCAATCACAAAGCCCAAAGAGTAACTACCTCAAAGTTGCCCAGCAGGGTACGGCTGATGGCAGGGGTGGGAATGGGGGAGGCACTGGGGGGACTCAGCAGGCCTGGGCCCTTCCGGAGGCTTCGAAGGGAGCTCCTGGTTGGGGAGAGGACACATAGTGGGTTGGCTTGAGATACTCTGGGATTCCTACTTACATCCTCCGGCTCCATCCTTTGCCACTATCTTAGTCTCCTCCCCTGGGTTCCCTACTTTCGTACTGCGAAGAGGATCACAGACTTCTGCCCCTACTCTGAAGGACAAGGTAGAGGAAAAAGCTGGCTACTTACAGCTTCAGGTGGCGGGCACCTTTCAGCCTCCTCACCATGGGACTGCAATCTTTTGGGTCCTATGGAGATAAAAGAGACTTGAGGAAGGCCAGGTGTATCCTGGGTCAGGGGCTCATCAGTAGCTCTCAAAGGAACATTCCCACAGGCCTCCACCATCAGCCACATAAATATCCACTTGGGAGTAGATAAGTGCCTCTATTGGCTTACCAAAACAGGCTCCTTGGGCCCAGGCAGCAGGTGGTTCCAGAAGGGTGTGGCTTTGGCATCAGAACTGTTGGCAGCAGGAGGGTGGCCCAGGGTTCCCCGGCGCCTCCGAGGGGCTGGCCCCTCATCCTCAGAGCTGACATCTAGGGCTTCTCCAGCAGGAAGCAGCCTTCGCTTGGTGGGGCAGGGGCCTGGAGGTCCGGGGCCAGGGGGTGTGTGCTCGGGACTGTGCCCATTGGCAGTGCCAGGGGACTCCCTAGGCCAGGGACTGCCCCCGTTGTCCACCCTAGCCACTGGGCTCTTACTCCCTATTTGTGCAAGACTGTGCAAATCAGTGTCAAGTGTGTGCAGCTGGCCTGAAGGGGCTGACCCTGGAGAATCCTCAAGGGACCCCTGTCCCCCTGGATCTGGGGAAGCCCAGTCTCTGGTGTGCAAAGTATTGTAGGAAGCATTTGATGGGGGACAGGAGGGACTTTGGGGCCCTGCAGTCCAAGGTGAGGTGGCACTACCTCCGTGTTCTACAACACAGAGGCCATGGTGGGAGAAATGCTGGCTGGCCACACTTAGTCCCAGCCCCAGTCCCTCTGGACCCAGCAGCCCCACAGCAGATGGTTCTTCAGGGGGCAGTCCCTCTCTGGCCCCAAGACCAGGGCCTCTCTTGGTCTCCCGGGAACCCTCAGTGGGTGGGGCTGGCCACTTCAGAGCCCTATGAGACTCAGAGGCATCAGCTGGAGGAGAAAAGATGGATACCTGGTAGACCCCAGGGGATGCTGCCCCCCCTGTTGGGCTGTAGCCCATGAGCAGGCCACCCTGGAGGGCCCCCTGTCTGACTGGAGGCTGTGAAGGGCCAGCCTCTGGCTCTGAGGATGGAGACGGCTCCACCTGCACGTGGCGCATGAAGCCCACCTTGGGTCAGGGGGGCCCCCCAACAAGGCCTTTATGCTGGGCCTGGGCTGGGGGGCCTGGTGACATCTGTGCAAGGGAAAAGAAGTAAAGGTGGTCAGGAGAATCAGTGACTTTTCTTCCTTCCTGATTAATTTCAGACCCTCCCCTAGCCTGAAGAGGTGACCTTGAGGGGTTCTGGGGGTAAAAGTATCTAAATCCCCAGATGG